GAAGCCCAAAAAAACCCCCAACAAAAAAAAAAAAAAAAAAAAAAAAAAAAAAAAAAATAATAATAATAATAATAATAATAATGATAATAATAATAAATTAATTAGGCATTTAATCAAGGCAATCCACATCCACCATAACATTAATATAAAAATTGAAAAGGGAAATAAAAATTGAGCAGCAAGCAAAATAAGATTAAGAATAAGAGAGGCACAGACTTGGCTACTTGCTCCTTGTGGACCTGGAGGACATGGATGGCCATACCGCCGGCAGTGGATAGCTTCTTGTGGCAAACGTGACATTTAAAGTGCTTTGCCTTCTGGTGCTGCACCAATATCTTCTCATCTTCGAATTCCCTGTCACAATAATAGCACCAAACCTTATCCATCGCCCCTCTTTTCTTCTTCTTCCCCATTCTTCTTAATTCGTTTCGGTTTTGATTACTCTCAAACCAAAAGATAATCGACTAACGGTACTGCGTTACGTACGAACTGATCATCCAACAGTGATTCAATAAGATTTACGGCTCGGAATTTCTTGATAATTCCTCAAACGGATTTCTCATTAATCAAATTTCTTGGGAAGGAGATTTTTAAGGGCCGAGTGGGTTAGGGTTTCTGGGGGTCGGATCCGCTTGGAACTCTATTCACCACGTTTTTATTTGGGCATTATTATTTCCAGCCACATTATAAATTTTTATTACATCCACTTTTAAAAATAATTTTTTATTATATTTTAAATGCTTTGTAAATTTACTTAAATAGACATAAACAAAATTAAATAAAACTACAAAACGCTAAATTGATCCACTAATTTTTACTTTCATTAAATTATCAATCTTTTTTTATTCTTTTAGAATTTGTGTTTAACTAGAATCTTAATAGATTAATAAAAATTACATGAATATAATTAGGGAAAATTAGGCAATACTCTAATGAATGTCGTTTATTTATTTGATAAGTTTTTTTAGTGAATTTCTGTGATATATATGAACTTCAACTGGGCAATTCTATAAGGTGTTTGTCAGCGCACAATGCAGAGCCCAGAAAAGAAGAGATATATGAACTTCAACTGGGCAATTCTATAAGGTGTTTGTCAGCGCACAATGCAGAGCCCAGAAAAGAAGAGTTGTCTTACACTCCCAACAATCTGCTTACAGAATTGATTTGAAGATGTGGCAGAGGAAAACATTGGAATTGCTAAGGATTTGACCGAGGTATACCTGAATAATATTGTTGATGGTTGCGTCGCGCGTGTTGCAGCCAAGCTGGAATCTATGGAGCCTTCCTCTAGTGTTAAGGATAGGATTGGTTATAGCATGATTTCAGATGCTGAGGCAAAATGCCTTATCAAACTTGGGGAGAGGGTCCATATTGAACCTACAAGTGGTAACACTGGCATAGGTTTGGCATTCATGGCAGCAGCAAAGGGATACATGCTTATCATTATGATGCCTTCAATTCTCATTGGTTTTGGTGCTGAAGTGGTGCTCACTGACCCCACAAAGGGAATGAAAGGTGTTGTTCAAAAAGCTAAAGAGATACGAGACAAGACACCTAACTCCTACATTCTTCAGCAGTTTGAAAATTCGGCCAACCTGAAGATACATTATGAAACCACTGGACCAGAAATCTGGAAAGGGTCAAACGGAAAAATTGATCTTTTGTTTCTGGAATTGGCACTGGAGGGACGATCACTGGTGCAGGAAAGTTCCTTAAAGAGCAAAACCCTAATATAAAGTTGTTTGGTGTGGAACCAGTTGAAAGTCCGGTTTTCTCTGGAGGAAAACCTGGTCCTCATAAGATTCAAGGAATTGGTACTGGTTTTATTCCTGGGGTTTTGGAGGTTGATCTTATTGATGAAGTAATTCAAATTTCAAGCGATAAAGCCATAGAAACTGCAAAGCTTCTAACATTGAAAGAAGGGTTACTAGTGGGAATATCATCTGATACTGCAGTAGCTGCTGCAATTAGGATTGTGAAGAGACCAGAGAATGTTGGAAAACTCATTATTGTGATCTTCCCGAATTTTGGTTGTGCTTTTTGAATCCGTGAGGCGAGAGGCTGAGAATATGACTTTCGAGTAAAAGGTTTGCTGGCTTTTCGACCCCCCTAATGTTTGTCGCATCCTGTGTTTTTGTCATTTCAGTTTTCTTCAAATGTATCAAATGAAATTGTTGGAAATAATGTGACGCTTTCTTATAGACATAGGCTATGTCACATAGCATGAAGTGATGGGATTTTGCATTAAAAATAAAAAATAAAAAATGGGCAATCTACAAATGTAAAAGAGTTACATTATCAACGTGGATGCAAATAGTATTTCTTAAATGTGGATATATGTTATTCAAATGAATGAATTTAGTAAGGATAAAATTGGAATATAACGTGGATGCAAATAGTATTTTTTTTAAAATTTTTAAATTTTATTAGGGATGAACTTAGAGTGGGATGTATTTATAAAAAGTGTGGGTGGAAATAGCGTTGTACGATTCACATTAAAATATAGGAAGAATTGGAGTAGAAGCCCTTGATTTACGAGTAATATGGCATTAGAGTCTTCAAGTCTTCAACCTCGATCTTTCGACGTTTGTGTTCAAAGTTTTGAGGTTTAACACTAAGATCCCCACAATGTTTTCTATTGGCTTGACTACCAACCGACTAATTTTTAGTTGAAACAACAATTGTAATATTATTTCAATTGTGCTACATATACATAAAAAAAAACTACAGATTCATTGACCAACACATTGTTGACTTCTCGTTTTGATCATCACAAACAAATTACGTTTATTTCTAGTATTGATAGTGATCAACTAAAAATGAAAACACGAGAATCGAGATCAAGAATTATGCATTGTGACAAACAATTTTGGCGCTTGACAATTAACATGGAAGCAAATTGGTGATTGATGATCGTAAAGATGGAAATCGAGCCTTTGCTTCAAAAATCACATTGGAGAAGATATTGATCATCAAATTCAAGACATTAGATATTTATGCGTTTTGAACTCGAATGTAAAGATAAATCACTTCAATATTTCGCATCGACTATAGCGTAAAATAATTTTTATGCACGGGAACTTTCTCTCGACACAAAACAATACTTGCATAAAATTATTTTCAAAATATAAGTATTTTGATTTCATAATTAAATATTTACAAAATATTTATATATACAAAATAAATAAGAAAATCTTTCAAATACCTACATAGAGAAAATTCATCTCGAAAGAAATACTCCGGAGGGTAGAATTCTGGCGATCAGAATATCTGGATGGACCTCCAACTGTCACTTTTTTATCGTTTTCAAACGGCTAGTTTTTACCCGTCCGAACCATAACCGGACGTCTAGATCAACAGATTATTGATAGTTTGAATGCTATAAATACCCCTTTCTCTACCTCATTTGCAACAACTATTATTGAGTATTTAAGTGAGGCATTTATTAATCTTTTTAACCTTATTTTTCATTCTTTAGAAGATCAAATTATTTAATTCTTGAAAAAAAATTTGAGTGATCAAAACTTGTAAAAATCTTTTATCTCAATCAAAATTTTTCAACCAACACTTGAATTCTACTCTTTGTAATTTATTGAAGTATTGTACATACTTCTCTCTTGTTACTTAAGTATGCTCATATCATTTAGTAAGAGAGAAGCTTTCACTTGTAATTTTATTTCTTCTTATTTTAATTGTACGTTGTGTTAAGGTCCCCAAAAAGCTCCACATTGTAAAAGGATCAGTGCTCCTTGATTTTAAGTCACTGGAAGCATTGTAGGGGTTGGATCGCCATAGTCAATCAACTATAGTGAAAAGATCTTACTCGTAATAGAGAGCTTGGTAATAGGGAACGTGATCGTTGTTTGGATTGAACCTTCATATTACATCATTTGTGTCTTCTATTCTCTTCTACTTATTATTTTTCTTTTGTTATCTTGCTTGCATATGATTTTATTTGCTAAATGCTTAAATTTGCATTTATTTTCGAAAAGGTTTAGATAATCAATTCACTCCCATCTTTGTTAGGCATTTTTGGTATTTCAATTGGTATCAGAGCTTGGTACTCACCTTCAAAAGATTTTACAATGTTAAGTAACGGCTAACAAAGTTTTTCAAAATCTTGAGGGGCACTACACAAACCAACCTCCCTTCTTTGATGGCACACACTATAATTATTAGAAAGCTAAGATGATGGTATATATTCAATCAATTGATTATAACATTTGGGTAGTTATTGAGTACGGTCCCTATGTGCCTACCAAAACTATTAAAATAAATGTGAGATCGGATCAAACTATCCCTAAGTCTAGACAATAATATGATGAAGAAGATAAGAGAAAATTATCGTTAAATGCTAAAGGTAAGAATCTATTTTATTGTACACTAGATAAAAATGAACTTAATCGAATTAATACATGTAAATTGGTATACAATATTTGGCATACACTTGAAGTCACTCATGTTGGCACAAGCAAGGTTAAGGAAACAAAAATATATTTGTTAGCTAAAGAATTCAAAAATTTCTTCATAAATCAAGATGAACCTATTGTTGATATGATTACACATTTTACCGATATTGTGAATGGTCTTAAAGGTTTTGATTGTAGAATTACTAATGGTGAACTTGTTAGCAAAATGTTTAGGTCCTTATAGGAGGAATAAAGTCCGTTGAGGATGTTAATTGAGAATACCAAGGATATAAATACAATCCTTTGGAGGAGCTCTACAGTACATGAATGACTTATGCTCAATAATGCCTAGGTCAAGGAGAAAACAAGAAAAAGCAAGGAAGAATCAAAGGAGTTCCCCAAATGACAAATTACCTTAAAATTGAAAATTGAAGAAGGAACATCAAATGAAAATATGAGCGATGAAGAGTTTGATGATTTAGTTCTTCTCGTCATAAATGGAGAGGTCTTCATAATAATCGAAGATTTCAAAAGAATGAAGAAAAAGGTGAAGAAAGAAGTAAGAAATTTACTTGCTATGATTGTGATAAACCCGGTCACAAAAGAATTGAGTGCCATAACAAAAAGAAAAATTTCAAGAAAAAAGGCACTTCAAGCTACATAAGATGATAGTGAAGATGCAAAGCAAAATTAGAACGAAAGGCAAGACGAAGTTCCCAACATGTGATTTATGGCAATCAAAGATGAGGTAAGCGCGAATGAAAAATGTTCTTATGATGAGGTATAAAATTCATATGATGAAATGCTTGAAAAACTTGCCTTGAGTCATTCCATTCTTAAATAGAAAAATTCTTTGTTAAAAGATGAAATAAAGAAAATTTTGGAAAAACAAAAAGAAAATGTTGATCATGATTCATTGGTTAAGGAAAACATTTCATTAAAAGAAAAACTAGAAGATTTAACAAAAATTATTCATAAATTCACCGAGGGAAAGGAAAATTTTGATTTAATGCTCAGTAGTCAAAAATGCGTTTTTGATAAAGGGAAAATTGGATATAAACCCTCTTTAAAACAGAAATCTCTCAAAAATATGTTTGTTAACGTTTCAAACACTACATGTAGTTTTTGTAATAAAAGTGGATATGTAGTTTTTAATTATCTAGCTAAAAAAAAGTTATATTTCAAAAACAAGTATAAGTGTAATTGAGAATCCATAAAAACTAACTACCAAGGACTCAAGTTTTAATGGGTACCAAAAATCAAAACTTGAATTGTCCTTGTAGGTACTGAAGAAAACAAAAAACAAATGGTTCTTGAATAGTCATTGTTCGAAGCATATGACAGGAGATCGATCATTGCTATCGAACTTTAAAAACAATAATGGAAGCCACATAACCTTCAGAGACAATGTCAAAGGTAAAATTATCGACGTTGAAAATATAGATAATTACTCATCCCCTCAATTGAAAATGTTTAACTATTTGATAACATTAAACATAATTTACTAAGTTTTAGTCTATTATGTGATAAAAATTACAATATAAAATTCGATTTTTCCAAATGCCATATTAAGTATGCTACATCAAAAAAAGGTGATTTTCGTAAGAAGCCAAAATAAAGATGTTTATATCATAAACATTGAATTTAAAAATAATGAAAATTGTTTACTTAGCATGAAAGATGAATCATGGCTATGGCATAGAAAATTATGGCATGTTAGCATGGATCGTCTTTCAAAAATTTCTAAAAATTGTTTTGTAAAAGGTTTACCACATTTGAGAAAGATAAAATTTGTGATGTATGTCAATTTGGAAAATAAATGAAAAAATTTTCAAGCCTAAACTTTAGGCTTCAACTACAAAATCATTGCAACTTCTCCACATGGATCTTTCTGGACTTTCTAGTATGGCTAGCTTTGGAGGTAAACTTTACGCCTTTGATATTGTCGACGATTTTTCAAGATTTACTTGAGTCATATTTTTAAGTTTAAAAGAAGTTTTAAAAGCTTTTAAACATTTTTGCAAGAATGTTGAAAATGAAAAAGGTTATACCATTACGAATTTAATAATGTCGGCTTTGATGACTTTTATAATGAATATGGATATGAACATAATTTTTCGGCTCATATAACTCCTCAACAAAATGGTGTAGTAGAGAGAGAATCATACATTGCAAGAAATGGTTAGGACCATGATAAATGAAAGTAATTTGCCAAAATATTTTTGGGCCAAAACCGTTAATCCCGCTCACCACATCATCAATAGAATTTTAGTAAGCAAGAGGAAAACTAAAACTCTTTATGAACTTTGGAAAAATAGAATTCTGAATATTAGTATTTTAAAGTTTTTGGATGCAAATGCTTTATTTTAAACAAAGAGGATAATTTATGAAAATTCGATTCAAAATCCGATGTAGGAATTTTCCTAGGATATTCATTGACTAGAAAAACTTTTAGAGTTTTTAATAAATGAACTCTAGTCGTTGAAGAACCCATGCATATTACATTTGATGAGATTAACTCTTTTTGGTTGAGAGAAAGGTATTGATGACGATGTAGGTTTGGAAGCTCCATTTGAACAAATAAAGATTCAAGACCAAAGCAAGGAGGCACCTAACAAAGAACAAAAGGAGGAGCCAAATGTTCAAGAAAGTAAAGAAAAACAAACCGAAGCACAAAGTGATTCACCATTACCAAAAGAACGGAGGTTTATTCCATCACATCCTAAATAAAGAATTATAGGTGATCCATCGAATGGTATAACTACTAGAACCTCCTTTAAAAATCATCTCGGTAGTTGTGCATTTATTTCTCAGATTGATCCAAAAAACTTCTAAAAAAATGAGGTTGATGAGTTTTGGATTCTAGCGATGAAAGAAAAATTAAATCAACTTGAAAAATATCATGTTTAGGATTTAGTCGCTAGACCAAACCATCAAACCATTATTGGCACAAAATAGGTTTTCAGAAACAAAAAAAAAAATGAAAATAGAATAATTGTACGTAACAAGGCTAGATTAGTGGCCCAATATTATAATCAAGAAGAAGGTATCGATTTTGAAGAAATATTTGCACCCCTAGCTAGATTAGAATCCATTCATAAGCTTGTTGCCTTTGCATGTTACGAAGGCTTTACACTTTATCAAATGGGATGTTAAAAGTATATTTTTAGACGGATTTATTCAAGAAGAAGTTTTTATTGAGCAACCTCTCAACTTCATAGATCACAAGTGTCCGGATCATGTTTTTAAATTTAGAAAAGCTCTTTACGGTTTGAAACAAGCTCCAAGAGCTTGGTACGAATGTTTGAGCAAATGTTTTCTTTCAAATGGATTTTTGACTAGAAAAGCGAATACTACACTTTTTGTTAAAACACACAAGCGAGATATGCTTGTTGTTCAAAATTATGTTGATGACATTATTTTCGGTGCTACAAATATCCGTCTTTTAAGGATTTTCAAAATGCATGAGTAAAGAAATTGAAATGATTATGATGGGAGAACTAAAATTCTTCCTTGGTCTTCCAATTAAACAAACAAAAACTGGTATTTTTATAAATCAAAATAAATACATATTAGACATGCTCAAAAAGATTTGATATGCATAACCTTAAGCCATGAACACACATATGAGCACATCCTTAAAGCTTGACAAAGATGAGCAAGGCACACTAGTTGACGTCACAAAATATTGAGGTATGAATTCCTTCTTTAGTTAGCCGCTAGTAGACTCGATATTACATTTAATGTGTGTTTTTGGGCTAGATTTCAATCTAATCCTAGGGAATCACATTTATGTGCCGTAAAAAGGATTTGTGGATATCGTAGTGGAACTAAAACCTTATAACTTTAGTATCCAAAGGGGACTCACATTGACTTAATTAGCTACTCGGATGCCGATTGGGCTGGATGTAATATTGATTGAAAAAGTACTAACGGAAATTGTCACTTTCTAAGCTTTACACTTGTGTCTTGATTTACCAAAAAACAAAATTCCATTGCTATATCTATCGTCGAGGCAGAATACATTTCGATTTCAAGTTGTTGTGCACAAGCACTTTGGATAAAACAAATCTTTGTAATTATCACTTATGATCATGTGCCTATTATCTGTGATAACACTAGTACCATCAATTTGTCTAAGAATCTCGTCTTCCATTCACGAATTAAGTATATTGAAATTCGACACCACTTTCTTAGAGATCATGCACAAAAGGGAGATATCGTGTTAGAATTCATAAATATCGAGGAACAATTAGCCAATATCTTTACCAAACCTTTAACGCATGATCATTTCTCCCATATTTGAAGGGACTTAGGAATTATTGATGAAAATGAAGTGAATTAACTTTTTCATTTTGTATTACCATGTCACATTTAAACAAAAAAAAAATTATCTAGAGGACTCTTTGACGGTCACGACTGTCCAGATAAAATAGTTCAACTTGACAGTGCAATTTGAACTCTGTCAATCTGGACGTCCGGATGGTAAATCATACGTTCAGATCTGGGACTTTTCAATTTTTAAATCGTGAACTATGGCTTCATTTTTTTCATTTTCACTCTCATTTCTCTCCCTAAAATCACTCGAAATCACCCAAATGCTTTGTAAAAAACTCAATCTTTTCATCTAAACCAAGCACCTATAAGATTGGAATTCTCAAAATCACAAAATTGAGCATTTTCCTTCCAAAATTGCTCATTTTTCTCTTAAAAACTGAGCCTTAATCTAAATATTCAATACTTCATCAAATTCAAAAATGTTGGGGTCTCAACATCGCAAACGGGCTGGGAAATGCGTAAAGTAAATCGTTAGACGATCTTTGCCGCCATCTTTCGACGAAGATATGGATTGGAGCCCGAGGTGCCGGTCTATCCTTTTGAAAAATCCCTAATTTTAATAGGCAAAAATGCCGATTTTACCATTGAAGCTCCCGTATTTCATATAGAAGATTTTTTTTGAAAATATGGGTTAGGTCTCGGTTGTCGAATTAGAAGAACATGCTTATCCATGACTTATGAAGGATTTTTATAAAAACATGGTTATAAATCTTCTTTCTCATAACATTTCATGTTTACTTAACAATAAATTCATTATCATCACTAAAACACTCATTCATGATATTTTAAACATTGTGCTATGTGACACACAAATATTTCTTCACAAAGCACATCCCATATTAGAAGGTTATGATCCTACCGAAGTTTGTCGTCGAGTTACCGAAAATAGGGGTGGGCACATAAACCTCAAACCCATGGATTTGAACTGACTCAACCTGAGTCGGGTCGATTTGAGTTTAAGAAGAGGGAAAACGAGTCAGGTCAGTTCATTTGTAATTTTAAATTTAGATGGGTCGGTCGGTTCACTGTTCAAACATTTTCAAATTGACCCAATCTATTATCAAAAAAAGAATCCTTATTTCCTTTTCGTTCTCGCAAGTCTCCCTCTCAACTTCTAAAACGAACCTTCCTTTCCAGTTGCCATCGAAGTCTCAGACATCTCCTTAGTCTTTACAGAAAGCTTCCTTCAATTGTGGGTTTCTTCATTTTCGATTTTATATATACATCCCTTGGCAACATTTTCCATAGATCAATTACCTGTTCTTCCTTTCCCAGAGGTTCTTCATTTTTATATTTAGTCATTTTACATTATTCCTGTTCTGTTTATTTGATTACATTTGAATTTTTATTTGTTTCTTCTTCTAGGATTTATGCCTTTGTTTTAATTTGTAGATTTCTAATGGAAGTGGTTTTCTTTAAGAATGATTATTCCGAGATATAAGGATTTATTTTGTGAGTAATAAATTGGCACTAGTATAGAGATTCTACACAAGAGTTTTTGTTAACCATTCTTATTTTTATTTTCACTTTCTTCCTCTCACTTTTTGATTGTTTCAACAGCAAGGTAAACAACAACTTGCTTGAAGAAGAAGTACATACACCTACCCCACTTTTGACACGGATGATCACTGATGAACCTATTGATGGAGGAAGCATTTGAATTTGGCAAAGAATGTATCTATTCTGGTGATGTTCTTTGTGATGAATACCTTATAGAGTTTGTAGCTTGAAAATGTGAACACTTTTGTTTCTTTGTTAGTAAGAAAATCTTTTCTACTCTTTTCCTTCCAAATTTAAACCAATTTCCCGACTTTTGAATAGTAGATATAATGGATGAATAGACATGGTGGAATGATTTTTTTTCCTTCCAAAACAACATGGATATAGATAGTGAAATTGAAGCAATTGGTGAAACTCCTTCAACATCTGTTCCTCCACTTCCACCATCATGTTTAGGGAAGAGAAAAAATAGAAAACACTTCACAATTATAGGGAATTCAAAAGCAGAAGATGTTAGGTGTGCATGCAACTATTATGGGTAGGATTATGGTTGTAGGGCTAGGAAGTATGAGACTGGTACCTTGAAGAATCATTTGGTTCTTTATTGTAAGAAGTATCCCGGAAGATTGGAAGATAAACGACAAAAAAGTCCAACTAAGGGTGGTGTGAACATTCTAGTTGGCTTTAATAAGGAAGAGTGTAGGTTTGTATGTACTAAGATGATAATATTGGATGAATTACCTTTTAGATTTGTCGAAGGTGAGGGGTTTAGACAATTTTGTAGGCTAGCATGTCCTAAATTTGATCCTTCATCTCGTAGAATTGTTGTTAGAGATATTTATTAGTTGTAGTTGGATAAAAAATTGCAATTTAAAAAGATCATCCAACGTTAAAGAGTTTCTCTTACTACTGATACTTGGAATTCCATTCAAAATATTAATTCTATGTGTCTCACAGCACACTTTGTTGATTCTGATTGGAAGCTTCATAAATGGATTTTGGCCTTCCGTGTGATTGCTAATCATAAAGGTAAAACCATTGGTAAAGTCGATGAAACTTGTTTGCATGTATGGGGTATTAAGAGATTATTTACAATCATAGTTGATAATGCAACTATAAATAAAACAGCTATTTCTTATATTAAGAGGAAGATGATTGGTCAGAGTGGTGATGGGTGTGTTTAGATGGAAAGTATCTATACATGAGGTGTTGTGCACATATTATTAATTTGATTGTGTGTGAGGGGTTGAAGGAAGCACATGATTTAATTGTTAGTATTCGAAATGCAATAAAGTTAATGATGTGGATAGATACTTGTTAGATGCTTGTGAAGATATAAAGGACGATACTTTTGATGTTTTTAATTGGTGGAAGGTGAATGGAAACAAATATGGTGCATTGTCAAAACTTGCAAGAGATGTAATGGCTATTCAAGTGTCTATTATGGCCTCAGAAATTGCTTTCAGTACCGAAGGAAGAATTCTTAATCCATTTCATAGTTCTTTAACTCCTAGGATGGTGGAAGTTTTGGTGTGTACAGAAAATTGGATTAAAAAGTCTACAAAGCATGGAGAAATTCTATATGGAAGATGTGGAGGAATATAATAAGTTGGATCAAAGTAATGTAGCTATTCCATGATTTATGTTAAATATGTATTTTATCGAATTATTCCTCGTTTAATTATTATTTTTTTGTAGAACTTTTGGAATCAGAGAAATCAAATGAAGGCTAAATCAATGTGATTAGTTCATTTCTAAATTTTTGAGGTAGATATGTATTCAAATGTGCTTTACTCTTTATTAATGTAATATTTATCTTTTTCTCTAACTATTTCTATTATTTGTATTGTAGGAATGATGCTTAAAGCTTACACGATAACTTGGAAGTCGTAACATTTTACCTTATTATTTGTTTTATGAGAATTTTGATTTTGGATTATTGTAGCATTTGTATTCTTATTTATTGAGTTTGGATTACTGTAATATTTAAATTTTCTTTTCATGCTTGATGGTTATTTTGATTGTGTTTAGTTTCATTAGTATCTTTTTAATTTAATTAAGTTACTTTGTTTCGGTTAAATTTTTATGTTGTCACTATTTATGAAAATGACAAATTATCATCAACTGGAAGAAAAAATATTAAGTTTTTTTTTAATTTTAATTCAAGCAAATAAGGATTCATTTGGCAGTTTGAAACTAATGAAAAAAGAAAAAAACGATAAATAAAATAAAATAATTATTGACCCGGCTAGACCCGAACCAAGTTGGGTCAAGTCGATTCAAAAAAATAGCCCAAAACCAGTAAATTGGGGTTAGGTCAGTTTTGCATAAAAATCGGCCCAACCCGGCCCCGCTACCCACACCTAACGGGAAAGGATTTTGAAAATATAACAAAAATTAATTCAAATCAATCGACTCTTTCATGTAAAGTGCTACATAACATCACCACACATTTTATCTAGAAAATGTCACCATGATGAAGTTAGCTCATTCAATCTTCTTATCCTCAACTCATTTCTTTAGTCAAAAATTGGATTTTCCCACTATTGCATTATTTCTCATGAAGTTAGTTCATTCATCATGTCATGTCAAAGCTCTGCCATACGAGATGCTTCTTACCAAAATTTTTAAACATTTTGACATTTCTTTGGATATGAGACTTTTGTCACACTTTGACCTACTGATACCATAAACATCAAAACACTTAAACGCATGAAAATCAGAAAAGGCCATGGTCAGTGGGTAGCACATACAAAAGGATTTGATCGTACTTCCGATCATTCTACCCTAGCTTTCGAAAAAGAAGCTGAAGAAAAGACCGAGGACGAGCTTGAAGCCCTTGCTCCAGCTTCCGACATTCCCGGCTCTAGCGTACCTTGTCCATTTGGAGGTCACTTCACATTTATCGAGGAGCTGTATAATCTCCTTCATGGGTGCATTGATTCGCTCACCTCATTCGTCAACAGCCTGGGTAGCCTACTTGTTCAGATTTAGGCACAACAGACTACTATCCAGGATCAACAGGCCGAGATACAGGCTCAGTAGAGTGCATTCTTCGCGAACTTTTATGCTTGCTTCCCACCTTCGTCATCGCCTCCAGCGCCTTAGCTTCCTTTATCACATTTCATTTGTCCCGTGTTATCTACTTACTTATTATTTTTCTTGCGTTATCTTGCTTGCATATTATTTTATTTGCTAATTGCTTAAATTTGCATTTATTTTTGAAAAAGATTTAGATAACCAATTTAGCCCCTTTTGGTTATTTTTCTTAGGATTTCACACATCATGTGACGAAATTTGATTGAACCAAAATCTCACCAATTTCATTTTGCCATTAACTCGTATTACACAAGCATAGTCGTTTAAGTGTTGAAAGGATGGTTCGCCATGGCTTTTTGAAAAGATGAAATGAGTTTTTAAGACTCAAAAACAATGTTTGGATTCACTTGGCTAATTTTATGAAAATGCTTGTTTTACCTAAAAGAGCTTTTAGAGAAAGTTGGTCAAATATAGCTTCCTCCAAAAACACTTTGGAATAGGAATGTTTTTAAAATTAGTTTTCAAACAAAAGTTAAGGTAATTTCTTCCAAAAATACTTTTGCACGAAGCAAAAGTCATAATAAACGAGCCTAAAAAGACTTTGATAATTTTAATCTAATTATTGTCACCTCGTCAATTTGTGTAAAAAAAAAAAAAAGACCTTTATATGTTGATGTAGAACAAGCATTTTCCATATTATATTAATAGTATTACTTTTTACCTTTGTGGTCGCTATTCCTTCCTCCTCATGTAGGGTGAGGAAGAGTAATTAAGCATTTTCCATATTATACTAATACTATTATTTTTTTCCTTTGATATTGTCACAAAAGTTGTAACTCCACACACTTTAATTTATTACAATATATAGATTTTCAAATTTGTTCAGTTGAACATGTTATATCTTTTTATATTTGTTTTTATCAATATAATATCAATTTGACAAAGTAGCATAATGGTATATATAAATTAGTCAAGTTTGATAAGACTTGTACAATTGAGGATACTAGAAAATATGTCACATCCTTCTATCTGAAGTAAGTTGAACCCTAATCTTTTAATAATAAATAAATAAATAAGTAAATTTCACGGGGCGAGTTCCCGTGACAGGCGGCACCGAGGCGGGGCAGGGTAAATTGCCATCACTAAACTAATCCTAGAATTGAATTTAGTAGAGATAGGAAACATAACAAAGGAATAAGAAAATAATCTCTTTCTCATTATGCATATGGGATATACCTCGATCAATGTTAGATAGGTGAAGTCAGCGTGAGATATCCGATTGAGTTAGATTTGTGAAGCCTAATATACTGTACATTTGTTCATATGTCACGATTCGACCTTTAAGTAGGTCAACAAAGAGGTCTGGAGATGGTAGGCCCCCAGTGTTGGATTTCAGGGTTAAGAGCCCCTATTCTGTATAATAGGATATATTGGAAAATTTGCACTTTAAAGGTCCCTCTAATATTTTTCTCCTATATAAAGGATATCAGGGCATAGCTTCATTCTGTATAGGAAGAATCCTGTTCACGAAATATTTCTTTTCGATTTTAAAACCCACCGCAAGTGTACGGTTCATTAACAAGTAGTAAAATGGATTATGAGTCCAAGTATCGTTCCCACGAGGATTGAATTAGCTCTAATTAGACTAATGTGACCTTAACCGAATCTAATTGACAGAAAATTTGGTCTAAATGTGAAAAGCCCTAATTTTGGAAGAAATCCCCAATTTGAAACCCTAATTGCAAAGAAAACCCTAATTTCGAAATTTCACTAATCGAATGAAATAAACACGCAATTGAAATGTAAATATGCAATTTTAGAACTAATGTATTGAAATGAATCGAAATGAAATCATTAACAACTCGAATCCCCAATTGACTATTAAAAATCCTAATTTCACAAATTCAACGAATCGATGGAACAAAATGCCAATTCAATGTTCCTAAATTATCCAATACACTCTCTCGATATATATTGAATCTACTCTTACACACCACTAGCCTATATTTCTATGGATGATGCAATGTACAAGAATGCATGACTTTTTATGAACATATTCATGAATTGCATAAAGCATAGAGGTAAGTTTCCATCCCCTATCGGACCCTATGTCAATTTATATTCTATCGAATTTATTCCCCTTCTTTCGAATGCAAAGAACAAATCATCTACAATCACATAACAATTGGCCAAATAATTATGGAAGCATTAAAATATATAAATCAAACATTTGTCCAATCGAAACTATTGTTGAATTAATGAAATAATGGAAATTTAAATCATCAAAAGGTTCATCGAATTCCTAATGAACAAAAACCCTAGCCTATTATATTTTGAAGAAAATTACAAAAATTCAATAAAGGAGAAGACATCACCCTATTATAATTGTTGCTTGAAATCTTCAATCTTGATGAAATCCTCCTTCTTCTTGCATAAATTCTTGGATCTTGACGTTCTTGTGTACCTCTTTTCTCCCAAAAACATCTACCCTAGTTCTGGACGTGTTTTAGGGTACATATAGCGTGTCCAAATTAGGTAAGAAAGGAGTTGGAGTCGAAAAAGGAAACTACAAAAAATCTCCCGACGTTTCTTCTATGCGACCGCATAGAAGAAACCTATGCGGTCGCATAGGTCATTTGAAATGCCCAATTTTTTTCCCTGTATCCATCTATGCGGTCAAATGCCCAATTTTTTTCCCTGTATCCATCTAAGCGACCGCATAGATGGTTACACTATGCGGTCGCATAGATATAACCAACTATGTGATTTTTACATTTTGGTCCCTGAACTTCCTTGTTACTTCTTTTGACTTCTTTCTTCGATTTCTTCATCTTTTCAACAAATTTTATCTTCCAATTGATGACTGACACCATCAATTCTCATGCCCCTCATTCGGCACATCTTTTGAGTATTTGCGCTTTAGTCCTCCAACTTTCAATTGTCTTCATTTCAGTCCCTCTTTAATACTTTCTTCTTCCAATTGTTTTGCTTTGTCATTGAGCTCATACTTGGCATGTTTTCACTCTTGTTTTGCATTTACCTCAATTTTTCAATATTTGCACCTTTGGTCCTCGAACTATCACTTTGTTGCGTTTTGGTCCTTCTTCGGCTCTTTTCTCCTGAATTCCACAATTTCCATTGAAATACCTACATTGCATGAATTTAATAGGATTAAGCCACAATTCAACCATTTTATCCATGTTTAAGTCATGTTTGTGAACCAAATACGTGTGTAAAAACGTACTTATCAAATCCCAAACCTTTCAAAATATTGCAGACTATACCCAAACCTTTCATTTTTGTAGTTAGAATCCCTAACCTTCCTAAAGGACAAATCCTACGAAATTAAAAATTGATTTATTTTGATTAGTTAAATGACGGATAAAATTTTAACTTTATATTTTCTCAAATAAAGTAATTAAAATAATTAAATACAAACCAAAAAGAAAAGAGAAATATGTACCCTACTCCTACCCATCTGCCCACTTTATCTTCTCCAACCACCCCCACTTCATCCCAACCCAACCCTCAACTAAAACCATGTTCACATGTAATTTTATAGCTAATTATGATAAATTTTATGCTGACGGGCTAGTATTGATACCTTATAATATCTTCCTAAAGCCAAAATCTACAATTTGTTCAATAGGAAATACACCTATGCTGTCATTGTAAGTAACTTTCTGTTGTTCTTGATTATTTTTACAATATTGTTACACATACTTATTCGGGTTAGTTCCTTTTGCGTTCAGATTGATATTGGATTAATGGTATACCAACAATTTGGAGGAATAAATAGAATCAATTTCTATACAAGTTAAACGTTTGTGGCTGCTGGATTTTCTTCAGGGAAACTTGGAATAATTGCTTATTCTATAATCTTTGTTTGTTAAAGTACCTCAACCCGAATTTGGTAGCATCATATTGAGTTTGGACGAATTCCAATTCAAAGCCTTGATTTAATGCTGCCAAACCCGTCCTAGTTAGTTAAATCTTT